TATATATATATATATATACGTCTTTATGTATGTAACAATAAATAAATTTTCAAGTGAAAATAACGAAAGTGATTTTAAAGAAAACTTATATTGATATAAACGTTATCAAAGAACCGAAACAGATGAAATTTCGAATGTAGAAATCGGAGAATGTATCAAGACCAATGATTCAGATATGCTAGTGATACAGTGCGATGCTAAAATGATAATAAAGCGAGTGTGGAACGATTAATATGAATATATGAGAACATACAACCTACTGGCCAGCAACCTCTGCATCCTCCTTCGATGGAACAGACCTTGATCGATGGGAATACAGTGTGAAAAAATGACTGAATTTAGAACAATATTTGGTGAGTAGCGAACCTGAAAGCGCGGGTTGGTACTCTTCGAAATGAATAAAGCATATGTATATATGTATGTATATGATAGATGAAGGAAGGAAGAAAGAGGATAAATATTCCTTTCTCGCGTTAAGTGACCTTTATATATAAAGCGAATCTTGATGTTCTCTTTTTTTGTATAAATTACCAAAAGCCTCCCGCACTGCGGCCACCCGGTGGATTATTCACACGAATGCATGCCCTTCGTCCTTCTTCGAGAGTTTCCTCTGCAAGAATAGAGAATTCACTTATATTCCTATAATATAAAGAAATAAGCAAGTGAGATAAAAGTGATGTATTTTCCGCGATTAATATATGTATAATATCAAGCTCGAACAAAATTTAGTATTTCTTTATTTATATTAGTATAAAGTCACCAGAAAATATATGTGTCCTGTGTGTGTGTATGAAAGTTTAAAATTATTGATCGTAAAACTCACCGCTGATGGAGAAAGTAGAATCTTGCATGTTTCTCTGACCTTCGTGTCTCGGACCTTTCGTAGATGGCGTCATTACGGCAGAGGTCGGCAAGGTACACAGGTACACAGGTACGTCAAGTGAACCGTTGGTATGATCAGCTCGTGCTGCAGCTGCGGCTGCGGTTGCAGCGGCCGCTCTCGCCTCTTCCTTAGCCTTCGCGATCGCGGCGTCTTCCTCCGCGTATCTCTTAGCCTCCGCTTCGGTTCGTGCGACACCACGTGGTTTCTTCAATAGCAATTCATTTGCAATGTTCAATTTCAATTATAAATTTTAAATGACACATTAATTTTTATTCCAAACAATTAATTCTTAAATTTAGTTCAATAATGTAGTTACTTTAATACATTAATATTTAAAAATAACGCGTCTATAAAAAATAGCGCCATAAAAGGAAGAAAAAAGAAAATTAGAAAATTATACAGGATGTTAAAAAAAAAAGGTCATCACATATTTTGAAAGTAAGTAATATTGTAGTATAATATGACCCTTTTTTAACACCTAGTATATTGTATGTTATACCTTTTCCTTATCGTTTATCATGTCGTACACATAAGTGCCAAATGGCTCCGTATTTATATATTTTCCGAAGCCGTGAACAGCTTTGAGCTCACACTCATCCACGCATACGCGTCCATTGACAATCACATATTCAGGTACGGCAGTTACTTCCATACCCTGTATTAATAATTGAATATTAATTAAATAATTAAATTGCATTTGTGTAAGATATTTTTATAATTGCGATTGAAGCGGAGTGACTTTCTATAATACACTTTCTTCTTGAAAGAATTATGCGAAGCATTAAGAACATAAACTTAAGCCGCGTATTTCACATCGTAAACGTTCATTTACAACGCATTAGTAGTAAATCGCATATCAAGTCGCAGTTATCACTTCTCGCCAAAAGCGGACGACTTAATTAAACTCGCCTCGAAGATGTTGAAGTCAACGGCCTGGACATGGGTCTGAGCGGAAATGGTGCGCTTCCTGTTGGGGTCCCAGACGACAATGTCAGCGTCCGAGCCGACGGCTACGACTCCCTTTCGAGGATACAAGTTGAAGATCCTGGCGGCATTCGTGCTAGTGACTGCAACGAATCGCGTGGGATGCATTATTCCGGCATGCACGCCCTTCTCCCAGAGCACGGTCATCCTGTCCTCGACACCGTTCACGCCGTTAGGGATTTTCGTGAAATCGTTTTTACCCAGAGCTTTCTGCTCGGAATTGAACGTGCAATTATCACTGCCGATGACTTGGAGAGTATCTCTGAAAAATGACCGTATTAGTGCACATCTGTGAAAATCGAACGAGGATGATTTCAGAAGAAGAACCAAGTATTAAGCGATTACCTTGACATCGAGTAGGCTAAAGTAATTGAAATTAATAATACAAAATAAAATTACATTGAATGATTAAAAACTAAAAGAGGGCTGTTTAAATCAGCTGTTTTTCCTCCATCTGTGTATTAATTAACATTAACGCTCTGTATTGTACGAGTATATAAGTGACTTCCCACATCGCGGCTATTAATATCAAGACTACGAGTTATGCTTATGTCATTCGTGTCAAGTTGTTATTGTAATTCATCGCTGCAAAAATGGACGTGCATGTGAGGTATGCAAAATAACGCGATTATTAATCCTAATAATGAAACCGTATTTGGGGCATCGCAATAATGAATCCTTGGGTCTGTAGCCATCAAATTCAATATACTTAAGTTTAAAGTATTAGAAAAATTTTGAAAACATTTAGACATTTCTCCTTTACAGTTTCTACTAATACATCCTATAACTTATTTAAGAAAAAAAGATTTTTAAATAATTTATTTTTATCAATTTTAAAAAAAATTCGTAAAAATTGATATCCGATATATAAACATTTATAACTTTTTGAAGAAAAATCCCTTTATGGATCTATAGTTTAGACCTTAAGAATTATAAAAAAAAATTTTTATAGCTGTTAAAAAAATTTATTTATTTGCAAGGACAAGAGACTGTGCTATTTTTGGACAATACGATATGCGTTTTTATGATAAAAAATAATTTTTAATGTTCCAAACACATTTCATTTTGTTAAAAAAATAAACTATATTGATAATTTAAAACTATTATAATATTCTTCTCATTAAAAGAAAATTCGTCGGAAGCAGTTGACACTACCTTACTCTTTAAAAAACACTGCATATTTTCTACTTCAGTAGGCCATTTTTATTAAGAGATAAATTATTTCATAAATATATCATAAAAATAATAAGTTTCATATAAAAAAATTAGACTTTCGAAAAAATAAATTACAAAAGATATATATATAAAATAAACTCCTGACATGTTTGTTTCCGATTTGCACTCGCTGATGACACAGGTCTGCGATAAAAAAAAACTTTCTTCAATATTTTAACTGTTTTTAATATATTTTTGAATGCCGAATTCAAAAGCACAATAAAAAATCTTACCACAAACAGTTTCACAA